CCCTGGCACTGGGGGCTTTGGGAGGACCAGAAACAACTTATTTGAATATTCATCATTTGCTTAATGAATATGCAAATATATGTTACAGGTCCTCCAAAAGCTTTAGACCATAGCATACCTCGGCTGGATAGCAGATGTTATGAATGGCTGTAGGAATGGCAGAGCAAATGTTGATCAGGTCTCATTTCTTGTGTGGTCTAAAGCATGCTAGCAGCAGGGGCAGATGACCGTTTTGCAGCGCCCCGGGCAGCATAATTCCGCGGGGCCCCCCCTTTGCCACGGCGCATGCGCGGGGCTTTTTGAAGCGCGGGGCCCGGGGCGGCCGCCCCGTTCGCCCTGCCCTATATCCGCCGCTGGCTAGCAGGATTCAGTTGCCAACATTAAGACTATCTACAGTAAAACTGTGGTTTTGTAACACTCTTCTCTGACCCAACAACAAAAATGATTGAATTATGTCTGTTCAGCAACATTTTTCAAGCTACCCTATGTCTGACACCTATGTATGTGCATGTTTTTTGTCCACCATGTGTCCCTCCAGTGGCAGAATATGGTGTAATTTCCCTGCATCAGAGGGAGGTGGAATTTGATGGGAAAGGGTTGAGCACAAATATCTTCTCCAGGATGGCTCACTGTACAACATTGTGCCGTAATTCCTCGCTTAACACGTGCCCGCTTAACACATTTTCGTGATTGCACAATTTTTTGGGAGGGAACATTTTTCAAACAACATGACCCGTCCCCGCAATAACACGATTTCCCCTAGGGCTGGCTGGTGGCCGGCAGCTGCGCAAGGCTTTCCCTGCAAAGCAGCAGAGGTTCTCCGCTCGCTGTGCTGTTCCCCAGAGACCCCCTCTGGTCAGATGCTTCGCTCCCTCTCCTCCGCCCCCCGCTTGCAACTGGCGGCTGGGTTTCCCCAGCTCGCCGGTCACTGCCAGCTGCGCAGGGTTTCGTCTGCCTCCTTACAAAGCGGCGGAGGTTCTCCACTTGCCATGCAGTTCCCCAGTGACTCCCTCTGGCCGGACACAAGGCATCCAGCTAGAGGGGGGGGTCACCGGGGAACTGCGCAGTGAGTGGAGAACCTCCGCCACTTTGTGTAAGGAGGCAGGGAATGGCGCAGCGAGCAGTGAACTTTCGGAGGCAGGGTAAGCTCCGGGCAGCTGCCGGTGACTGGCCAGCTGGGGCAACCCAGCTGCCGTCTGCAAGCCTCCTCCCCTGTACTTCCCTTCCCTTCCCCAGAGCCAAACACTTCCCCTCTCTGCTATAACCCAGTCTCCTTTCTCCCCCAACCTTATGTCCCGGTCCCAGCTGCTAACAAATGCAGGCTGGAGCTGCAAGTGCACGTGCACTTGCAACGCAACCCCCACCTTTTCCATTATTTTCAATGGGAAAATTGACCCTGCATAACATGTTTTCACTTAGCACAATCATTTTCTGAAACGTATCTACCATGTTAAATGAGGAATTACTGTATGAGGGGGGAGGGTGGCAGTATTGAGACAAGAGTGGGAGGAATGAGGATGTCTCCAGATCTAAATCCTTCTAACCTATCTCTCTGCCCTAGTAAAGTGATTATATTAGGATTGGGGTGGCTGCTGCCATTTGGGACTAGATTAGTGATCCTCAAACTAATTGGATTTAGGCCTTAAAAGTCACATTACTGAGGTGTTTGGAAAAACATGATATGATAACATAGCTACAGCATACAGAAGCACATTGTTATACATGTGTGTGTGACACTGAAAATTGAAATAACAAAGATCACTGTTCCACGTTGATGACAAAATACCATGCAAAGCATATGGCATGTAATGCAAATAAATCCTACACTGTAAGCAATGTATAGCTATAGAAAGATGACCTCTCTAGCTGATAAGGCACTGGACTAGGAATCAGGAGGTCTAGGTTTTATCCCTAGCTTTGCCACTGACCTGCTATCCTGAGCAAATCACTTCCCCTCTGTTTCCCTTTACCCCTTTTTATTTGTCTTGTCTAGTTAGATTAAGTTCTTTGGTACATGGACTGTCTCTTGCTATGTGTTTATACAGTGTTTATGTAGTTTTCCTGCAGCTCCAAGGCAGAGGGCAGGGGAAGGCACAATTGGGGCCTTTGAGCATTACCATCATACACATACATCACTAAATAAACATATATGAAATTGTATTATGGAAAAGTACTGGACATCACATTTGCTGCAACTAAGAATATCTTAGTGTATGAATTCTGGTGAAGTATTCCAATTAATGGAAGCCTGACATGCAATAACTTAGTAATGCCATACTGTTCAATCAAGTTCTCATGTGGTTTTCACATTCAAAATCATCAGAAGCCAACTCTGCACTCAAGTTTGTATGGGGACAATATGAAACCTTCCATAAGCCAGATGTCTATCAACAGACCATCAATCATCATTTTAGATCACACATTAGTGAAACCTGATATTTCTGTGGTATCGAATCTGATATTTCTCATTGCACCAACTTATAGTACAATGATGGAGACATAAAGCTGCCACTATTTTGATTCACCAATACGTGCAAAACTAATCACATAAAAAACTCCCTTTTCACTCATTCTTAATGTTTCAGGAATGGGTAGTAATTGGTCTATTAACAATGAAGCCTCTATGATTTGTGCAGTGATGGCTGGCTTGAAGCAAAGAACAACTGTTTAATTGTAAAAGAAATATGTGGATATATGGGTTCCAAATATGAATGTTTTAAAGCAGTTGCAAATGTATTTCTGATTTCTTCAAATTGTTTTTATGGATATAGTTACACCATTTATTCAGATTAGACTGTAGATGGAGCTAGGTATACAAATAAACTAGGTTATAATATTGCACATCACAAGGAAAGGGGAGGTTTTTTTACTTTTTGCAAAACTAAATAAAGGCATTGGTAAGGTGATCCTTCAACAAAATTATTAACATTTATAACAGGTAGCAGACTTTTGACAAAAGCATTAGAAAATCTGCTAGTGAAAGGTAGTAAAAAATAAGCTGTAAACACCCCTGTGAAATAAAGATCTAACCTATATAAAAATATTGACAGAAGGAAAGCTGAATCAAAATCTGAAAGTCACTCCTGGGAGACACCATTAGAAATCTTAACTGACTCATCTGCTGGCTATGTCATCTCCAAGGGAGAACACCACTGTGACATCACTACACACCTCCCAACTAATCCCAGCGGTGGGGAAAATATCCAGGCACTTGACACTGTCTGTGTCAGTGCGGCTTCAACTTTTGATGGCTCTCTGCATGCCCCACCCTGCCACTATTGAATCCAGACGGGGAATTCGATGCCCTGCTCCGAATTGCACATTCCTTTCGGTTCTGCATCGCCTACTCCCCACCCTCCTCCTCAGATCAGCTGCTTAGCTCGCCCTCCCACACCGCGATCCCCCGACCCTTCTCCGTCGCCGGGTCGCCACGGCGCGGTTGGGGAAGGGGAGTTTTGCTGCAGCTCCAGGGCAGAGGGCAGGGGAAGGGCACCAGCTTCGGCGGGGCTTCACTTTGGCAATGGGCATGTGCAGACACTGTGCACATGCCCATTAGGGCCGCATGAGGCCGGGCGGATTCTGCTGTTCCACCGGCGAACCCCTCGCCCCACGCCGCATCCCGGGAGAGCGGCAGAGCCAGACAGGGGAGACCCAGGCTCGCTCGCACACAGACGCGCGGCCAGACAGGGCGGCGGGAGGAGCCGCCTAGACGTTTCTGGCTCTTGCTCTTTTTCTCCAGCGAGCGGCTCCCCGCCGCATGTGTTGGCCGGGCTAAAGGATCGCGTGATACCAATGAAATACACCAAACTGTATCTCTGCGCTGAGCCTGGGCCGGAACAATGGGACCCGCGGCCGCCGGCGTGGGGCCCAGCCCCCCAAACCTGCTGCTAAGAGGCTGTTTGCAGAGGTGAGGCTGGAAACTTTCCGGAGGAGCGTTCCTGTGCCACTGGCATGCCCGGCGCCCTCCTGCCCTGAGCGCCTCGTGATTGTCTGATTGGCAGCTCGTCCCTTGGAGGCTCACGGCGGCGCTGCCATGGGGCTGACCTAAAGCGAGCCCGGGGCGGGAAGGGGGGAATCCCTCTGCCCCTGTTGGCTACACAGCGCTTAGCCGTGTGGCTTTGCAACCGAGCTGCCGCGCCTTCTTCCCGCCGAATTGCTCCCCCCCCGC